CCTGCAGTGATATATTGTCAGATTTTGCATAATTTGGGTAAAATGAATCCTTTTTTTCATCATTGCGCAGTATCCTTGGTCGTATCATTCGCATCACGGATGATGTCATCGAGTACCGACATTGGATTCAAAGAAATTGGGCACACAAAGTTCGCCAGCCTATGCCCTTCCCCAGCTACATCACCCACTTCCCACCTCCCACTCATATGGTGTCCAGATACTGGGCGGGGAATGCTGCTGTACCCGTGATGAATGCTACAATGAACTTCAGCTTGGACAATACCGTGGACAATTCTGTGGACGAAAGGGGTGGGGAAGCTACTGAGGATACCAGTAATGCTAACACTGATGTAGGGTTGATCGGACAGGGTGGCACGGAGTCAGAGTCTCTACAGTCCTCCATCTCCACACCGGATGCCTTGTCAAGTGCTAGCGATACAGTATGTCAACCAAACCAGTTTTCATCTTAAGTTGAAATCTCCAAGAAACTGTTATTTCTTTCCAGAAAAACACTTCTGGCTATTCTCTTCATGAAACCAACCAAACAGTAGTTATGAAAAGACAGTTGTTCTTCGATTTGGCCGATTCATGTTGAACTGGTTAGTTTACTTTAGCCATTCAAATGTCCCCATGAAAATGCTTTTCAGATTCACATTCTTGACTTTCAGAGTTTGAATCCATGAGTTTCAGTCCTTTAAACTTTTTCCCAAACCTCTCAGTTTACAAAAACCCAATAGTCAGTTCATTTGGATGCATTCATCCTTGTGACTTTCGGGACCAGAGTTGAAAAGTCTTCAATTCCTTCATTGAAAAATATTTTCCTTTCAGGATTCTGATTTGTCATCACATGTATCTGGCTCTTCCAAAGAGAGTAGAGACAACAGCCCAGACCTACGCAAACCAGCTGACTCTGCCCCCATAGTGCCATCTACCGAGGAAGCCACTCAAAGCCAACCACAAAGCAATGAAGACACCATCAAGAAAGTTGAGGTGCCCAACCCTGTCAAGGAGAAAGAGAGTAGAACAGTCAATACTATCAATGTCTCAAACCAACCTGCATCTGAGCCGAAGCCACAGAAAGAGGAAGCTCCGGCTAAGATGATGACAACACCCAAGGAGAAGATCACCGGCAAAGAGGATGTAGGCAAGCAATCGCCAGCAACACAGCAACAGTTACACCGGACTACCCCCAACATGGTTACATCCAAGACGTATCGTAACAGCAACCATCAGCACAACTACCAGCAAGGCAGTAAATTCCGTAGTAGTAGTGCAGGTGGTAGCAGTAGTAGCCATGGTGGCAGCAGCGGGATTCATACAAGCAGCAGCAATGTACATCAAAGCAGCGGCACCAATGCTAGCAGCAGCAGTAGCCGTGGCAGCAACAACAACAACAACGTCAGCAGCAAGAAGTGCAAGAAGAAGACCAAGCGTGATGCCAACTCCAATTCTGTGCGTTGATGGGTGGATGTACGTAACAGTGTCAGGATATCATGCTTCTGCTTCAAGAGGATTGGAAGTTCAAGACTGGCAGAGAAAGCTGTCAATCGGCCTTGAGGCAAACACACTCGACAAGCATAGATGGTGCAGTGCTACATCTCTGCATTGCTTTACCATGATAGGAGCAATACTGAATTCATCACAGCAGGTGAATCAGTTATATTTCCTTTCTAATAACTTGGTAAGACCAAAATTACTGAAAAGCAAATCTTTGTTTTTTTTGTGTAGCCTTGTCGAGGTTCCTGTAGAAACATTTGTAAATGGTTCCCTTGAAGCTCTTAAGTTACTTGTGTATTGAAATAACCATATAAGCTACATCACCGCCTTAACATCCATTTTTATGGTAACCATTTTTTCTCTTGTCTATAGACATCTCAACGCCCATACTAGAACAACTTCTGACAAACAACAACTAGGACCGTATCAGACTTGTATATTTTTGTAACCGGGTGCAATAAGCCAGTTGTACATTGTGTCTGACTTTATTTATGCATCACTGTCTATGCAACAATTGAAGTACTTGTTGCGCTTAAAAAATAAAATTGTACAAAAAAGCAAAAAAAAAGACTCATGATGAAACGCGTGAATAAGGTGCTGCCATGTTGTACATAAGGGAATGGCATGTTGATTTGGGTGTCCAAGAAAAGTTCCGAGATCATTCTTGGATTGAACAAGGGAAAAAGATGTGAAGCTTTGTAAATTAAAGAATATATTTTTAGAAGTTGATTTTATTTTGTGATTCTGTTTCTTTTATGTTCAACCAACGGTAGTATGCTTGTGCTGCACTTCATTGCCATACTTGTTCACAGACACAATGAAGGTACTTCAATTCATTTCTGATGAATGAACCAGTAAGATTTATTCACCACCTACGTGTATTTAATGTGGAAGTAATCGACAGTTTCAGCCAGTTTGAGTCCATTTTGCATAGAATTCTGATCTTGTGTAGCTTATATTTGATTTCTTTTGTTTGTTTTGAAAAATGACAAAGATGAAATGGACTATAGGAGGATTTTGTTGTTGCACCTGTTGAAACCAAGCAAGAAGAATCAGAACTTGTAATGTCTTCTTCAACAAGTTCTAAACTTTTTCTTTTGGTCTTTGTTTTCCCTGTACCAAAAATTTAAAAGGCAGTAAATGATCACATTTGCATGCAATCCAGTTGAAGACATTAGGAGTAGATGTTAAGAGTAAGAACATATCTGTTGGCGGTCAGGTTTTTGCTTGACTTGAAAATTAATGTGATCCATCAGCTAAGCTAGGCAAGACGGAAGTGGCTAAGATAAAATAGTGCTATTTAGTTATAAACGGATACCTATTATTTTTTGTTAAGTAGCCAGTAAACTGTTATTCATTGAAAGCAACATTGATAAAATTCAGCTGAATCACAAAGGGTTTGTATTTTTGACAGAAGTGCTTGTCACTTCTTAATGCTAGGTTCAGTTTTCATTTTTTGTTTTTACTTCTCCTGTATCTTACCTGGCTAGCTCACATCAGAGTTAGCAGTTTATCAACTAACATTGCTGGCAATGTAATAAGGTTTCTATTTGCACAGTGTGATGAACTTGATCTTGTAAGGATGACTGATTGTCTGTGAAACCATTAAGAAAGAAGTGCAAAATCTCTTTGGGAGGATTCAAACCCCTAATCTTCCACTGTCAGTGCAGTTGTCTTAACGGTGAGACTACCACTAGTACATAACCACGTTTTAAGCTGCACAGTTCTGGATGCGCCTACACATATTTGTACTTAAAACTCAGGTATGCGGTAATTTATTGGATTAATGCTTTTTCTGTTTGTAGAATTGAGTACAATAAGTACATGTAAGAGGTATTTCCCATAAGTGAATTCTTAATTTGGAAATGAACTAAAGATTTGCATGCATTGTAAGTCATAAAGTCTTTATCTATGTTTGACTTGTATGGTTCTTCTGACAGTTTTTGCCATGATACTGTTGAAATGAGTTCTTCACATTGCCCAAAAAAAAAAAACTTCAAAAAGTGAAAAGAATGAGAAAAAAAACAGACAGTTGTAGGCTGCAATTTCTGTAATTCCTTGGAACTGTATTTTTGAAGTTTCATTTCTGTTTTTCAAGAAGTATTTAGAGTAGTAAAAACATTCATATCCTCATCAGTTTGCAGAACTCTTTAATTTCTAAAGCAAAATGTGAAAGCAATAGCCATAAACTCTGACCAATCACGCTAATGCTTCCAATGATAAACAAGCTTTTCTGAATTCCAAATCATTACAGTTCATAGCAAAATGTGCGTTTTCTTTGTAATTGAAACTCCCATTAGTATGTGTACATTTAATTGAGAGGGGGAAAAAGTCACTTCAAACACTTGCAGTGTTATGCCTACTTCACCTAACGTGTTTTCTTTTGTCCCAGAAAATGTGTAAAATATTGTGTAAAGCATAGACCTGTAACCTTGCTTGTTGAGGGGAAAGACATTTTCTCTTGATGAGGACATATTTTTTCTTGAAATCTAACTGTGATTGAGATTATTTCAAAGGAAGAAGGGAGAGGTCTCATTCATTTTCAATGAAAATGAATGAGACCTGTGTATAGTTGCAGATTTCCAACTTGCAGTAGCTGCTTGGTCTGTAAGCACAGCTACAGTGTGTAGTGCATGAAAGTATTTTTCATTTTGACTAACTTCACGCCTTTTTCAACCCTAACCCCTTTACCAGGTCGCGGTGTGAGTTTTCCATATTTGTAACATTCTCATGTGCCTTCTTTTGTATACATGAAAGCATGATGCTAATGTGATTAGGATGCTATGTTTGGCTGTTACATTATGGACTTGCTGTCTGTGATGTAAACACTATGAACATAAACGTGATAGGAGATGTGATTTTACTGGTTTTCAGGAAGCAAAGAGCATGTACATGTATGCACTGTATGCTTTTTCAAAGTAGGATTAGACTCTCCTGATTTCTCAAATGGTACCAATGCAACTGTTATTTTTGAAGTTGTACAAGAACACATCATGAATGTTGAAATGCTGGAGAGAATTTGAAGTATTGATGTGTAATTACCGTAAGAGTAGGTTGCAAATGTCTTTTCCACAGGAATATAGTATTTCCGTTCTCTATACAAATCCAACACTACCGGTATCAAATGATACATGTACGTGTACTCCAGTGCATACTGTTCACATGTTGGCACAGATAAAGCAGATCTTGTATAAACCAGCATCAACAGTAAATCGTTGCACGTCCAGTGAATAATCAAGATCCATCTGTTATCAACTGTAACCCATCTTACTCTTCTGAAGACGCAAGGTTTGACATGGCTAGATTTGCTGCCTCAAATGGTCGCTGATTATATTACTTGTAATGAGGATTTGTCCCAAAAGGGTCATTGTTCGTAATGTCATTGTAGCAAAACAGTATCTTCCTGAGCTTGGTCATTTCATGAGGTTGGGGCACAATGTGACATTGCTTTTGTTACATCTGCAACTTTTACCACCTCCATGACCTGTAGAGTAGGTCATTTACTCTGTACAAATAACACACACCCTCTGTATTCAGCCTTGCAAGATGTATAACAATGTCAGTTTGAAATCCATAAGCAGGGAAATAGCTGTTCATTTTTACAGAACCCGTGTAACACTTGACACCATCACAAATTGTGCCCCGACCTCGTGGAATGACCCAGCTCCATGTAGATTGATGTGATCACGTTGAATGATTGATTTCTATTTCATTTTGGATTTTGTAGCATTCCTTTAGCTGAGTAGCAATTACCAAACAACAGAAATGATTGAGCATGCTCTTCTTGGCTGTTACATATGTTTGAAAAGAACGTGTGTGATTTTAAACCATCCTTTACAAAGGGCTTCGTTGTTCTTTGTACATGCATATCATTTGTGCAACCATTACTGAATTTCAGTCTCTTGTACATCATGGTCCACCTCAGCAGTGAGTCTCTAAAGATGTCAATCTCATTCTTTTAATGAAATGTTCCTACAAAATCATTGCTCTATATTTTTGCTTTCAATTTTATTAAGACTTTGTTCTTTTGTTTCGTATTGTTTTCTGTAAAAAGTACATGCGCATGCCATGCAGTGTGCGCACAACTGACTGTGACCACACAGCTGACTGTGACCACACAGCTGACTGTGACCACATTAGTTGTTCCTGACTATGTTCCTGTATTTCCATTTCCTGCTTGAAAGTTTTATACAGTACAGTTTACTCTGAGTAGGAGCTACCAGTGAGTTTCTGTTCATTCTGGATTCTGTACTGAGAGGAATAAGACCTTCCTGGAACATGACACTTATATGGGAAAGTTTATTCTTTTTGCCAGTTTTCATGATAGCTACAAATGTGACAAAGAAATGTTGAGATTCTTGGTCTTTGTTGAGTGTCATCTATAAAAACATGCATAACTGTGAATTTCTTAACCAGAAAGGAAAAAAAAAGCTGTGTAAATGCATAGCTGAAAAAGTGTCTTGACACGTCTCATTGCATTAGGTCAAGTACAGATTTTAAATTTTTAAAACTATGATGTACTTTTTTGTTGTTAATGTTGTATATTTCCCTTGATGTGTTTACGCTGAAACATTTATTTTGCTCTGGATGTTTTTTATCAATTTTAGGGTATAATGTGTTTTCTGCTTTGTGTACTTCTTTAAATGGAAATGTGTGAGATTATGCTAGAGAGAGTGATTGACATATGGGTTTTGTCTTGAGATTGGTGACATTTCACACTAAACAAAATTACAATAATTTGAAAGGTAAAAGTATATTAAAAGATGTACCATTTTCAAATGTGAATATTTATATATTCTTGTATTATGTATACATATTCAAATTGTGATGGGATGATACATGAATATTGCATCATTTGCACACCAAAGTTAGTCAGTCGTTTGCAGAGTTGACTTTGACAAAAATGTAAAAAAGAAAACCAAGATTAGTTTTTCCTAACCTGTTGGTCATTAAAACCAAACCACCTAGTCTGAAAATTTGAGTTGATTTGTGACTGCAAATGTACATAAATGTCAGTTTTTCTGACTTGAGTGAAGATAAGTTGGTCAAAAATGAAAAAATTAACACGTGTTAAAAACAAGTATGTGGTTAATGTAAGATGTGAACCTTACAGTAGACTATCTTGCACTAAAGTTTGTCATTTGAAGCAGTGGGAATGTAGATACAAAACTGATGTTCATGTACGTATCACAAGAAAGAATCAAAAAGTTACAAAAAAATACATTGAGAAAAATTTTACTCCAATTCGAGACTTTCAAAATATGGCAAATCAAGAAATCCATGCAGGGTAGATTTACAGATCAGTTCTTACAGTCATCTCTGGTTGCCACATCGTAATTAGACTTTGTAAATAAAGTACCATATCTTGCTGTAAATTTTATACATAGTTGATAACGGTAATTATTATAAATATGTGAATATTATTTTTTCCTGACAGGAATATTTTGAAATGCTTTCCAATTTTTACAGTGAGAAGAGAAGCTGAGACTGGGTTAGTTTACAGAGCGGCATTTGATCACATTGCACGTTTTTAATGTAGAAATTGAGCCTGGAGCAAGTGACAATAACCACTTGTATGCATACAATATTACTGTAGGTCTATGTAGCATCAATACATCAGCCCACAAACTGTTCATTTCAATATCCTGCAAGTTTCTTAAAGGGAAATAAGAGAAATCATATTGGTACTAGATATTGGTATGCTAGGGTAAGGACAATTTAATTCCAACCTCTCAACTAACGCAGTCGATTTCTAACAGCAGCAAAGTTACACTTGTATTGCTTGATTATTTCTAACCAGTTAAAATGCAAAAGACAAATTCACCGGTGCATTTCTGTAATGGTACTGTTTCTTCCACTTACCAAGTACCCAACACCAGTAGAAGACACCTGTAAGAAGGGTAGGATCAGAAAGCTGAGGAGAACCGACTAAAGTCCGTGGAAGATGGTTAGGCAGAAAATGGTCAAGTTTGACCATGCTGAGCATTATTCAGAAATTCAAGTGTTCAATCAGACTTCAGCTACTTCCCTTGTAAGGCCATAAGGTAACTCTCCCAAGGGAATCCTTATTCACTTCAACAACATGCTTTGTGCATCGTTTAACATTAAGTGACATTTATTGATGTACGCTGTTTTGAAGTGAAGTTATTGAAAATTATGTGTGTAAGGCCGAATTAGAATCGTGACTTGGGCTTTATTTTTAACATTTTACTTTGTTTTTGGATTGTAAAAAATTACCAAAAAAAAAATATAAAAATCGAAATACAAACCAAAAAAATGTATTTTACTGCATGTCAACCTCCCCACGTATATTTCAGTTGTATTTTGTTATTTTATGTGTATGAAAAAAGAGATAAGTCCTTAGAATTCTATTTAAAAGATAAAAAGCCCAAATATGAACAACATACGGATTTAAACACTAAATTTTTTCCATTCATTTGTAAACTCACCAGGAAAGTACTGTCCTCATGTCACATTTGTTCTATGAGTTTTTGCCAAAATTTGAAATAAAGGATTCCATTTGATTCCCCAAAATGTGTCTGATAAATGTGTGATAGTCTTTCTGTGTCCATCTTTGGAGGCGAGAAAAAATCAACTCCAGTTACACTGCTGATGAATTTAACACATCTAGAGAAGGACCATACTAATGGTATATATAAAACACAAGGTATGAAGTCATGCATTCCTATGACAACTATTTAATGTCCACAGTACAGCAGACATGCAAAATCTTGAATTGCTTTGCAGGAAATAGTCCAGACCTAGTAAGGGCAACAAAGTTCAGGCACATAACTACAGACAGCCTTACTTGAAAAGTCTCCAACATGACTGACAACAGTGGACAGCACTGAATGCATGTACATGTATTACTATGCCATTCAATTTTGATGATGCTGCAATTTTGTGTTAACAAGTGGTTATGATGACTGCACTACGCGCATGTCAAATCAGTGTGCACACGAGTCAATTCTCATCAGTTTCACTAAGCCACCAAGAGTCTCAAAGTTCATATTCCTTGTGATATACATGAGCACCCCCCCATGTAATTTGGCATAAAATTATGATCCCCTTTTCCCACCAACTGGACAGATTTCTACAGCCTTTTCATTGCCCAACTGAATTAAAAAAGAATGAAGTCCTAACAAAACAAATGCCCTGCCAAGCCCAAGCCCACAAATTTAATTTTCAGATCACAAACAAGATTTATCTTAATTATTTTAGCCATTGTGACTTTTATCATTGACCTTTCAGGCTTAACTGAAAATCTTGTAAGATTACCTAAAAGAATGCACAAACCAAATTCGATGCTCTTACATGCTGACATTACATTTGTTTTGGTCAATGTGACCTTGGCATTTTGAACCTAAATGCAATAGGTTTCTTTGGATTACTGAGAACAATCCATAGTCCAAAGTTAACGTTCATACACAAAGCATTTCTCAAGTTATCACGCTGACAAGATTTGTTTTGGTTATTGTGACCTTAAACTCTAAGCCCAAGATCACCAAGAGCACTCCACTAACCAACACTGAAGTTCATACGCAAAGTAATTCTCAGTTATTGTCCTTCACTAACATTCTGAACACAAACACACACCCACTCAAGAATAAGGCGGAAACAGTGTGCTGCTTCAACTTCATTGGTAGGGCATAAAAACAAGATGAAGAATTGTAACCGCAGCCAATCACCAGGAAAGCGTGGACAGGCAGCCATAAACACCATGGATAAACAAGTTAAGGACTTACAGCAGTGAGCTATAAATAAAAACTAGAGCACATCACGTACAAAATGATGCCTGCTACGTGCATCCATGTTTGTGAACAAACCTATGAAAAACTCAAAATTTTGTACGGCTTTTGTACGACTATTTTTATGGCCGTTTTGTGTATCTGCATGTGTATTCTATAACGATGCATATACGTCAACAAAGCCCATACGTAGAAAACCTAAACACACTATCAGTAAAACCTTTCATTTTGCTCTGGACAAATAAAGCGCAAACCCACTGCAATTAAGTTTTGCTATGGCTTCATTAATCAGATTTTATTAGTGCCCGATGCACGTTGCATTTGGAGTACACATTTCAACATTCATTCTATCTGATTTGGAATGCTCTATAACCATGCACATGGACTCAAAATGTCTGCACCATCAAATTTTCTCCGTGTGGTGATGAGCAGTTAACCCCTTCGCGACAGATGATGGTAAAAGCCGCCGTAAAAATTGAGATTCTCAGCCCGCTTTTCAGCCATTATTCTCAGCCCACGCTCGAGCAAACACGGTGAAAGAAGGCAGACCCTGGCTCTTGTATATATGGTGATTGGCCTTTGTGTGTAGCCCAGAAATGAAAAGACCAAAGTTGCATCATAATCACCAGCTTCACAATAGTCCCCACTTTGAAAAGTGGCAACGGGAATGTGGAACCGTGAGTAGAGCCGCATGCCACCGAACAATGAGCCTTTTCACCGAGTAATTCAAAGTGTGCAGAGCAAGCAGGGCCACAAACCGAGAATTTGCGGTTTGGCAGGTGGCTTTCGTGGCCAAGCGAGGATGGAATTCTCGGAGTCGGCTTTCAGAAAAAAGTACCCATTGTCAAGGGGTTAAAGCTTTAATAATTTAATATACTTCAACTTCAATTTTAACTTTATTTCCACATAAAAAAATAGAATACACTCGGAGGGTAATGTAAACAAAAAATATGTGGTTGAGGATCACTTAAGAGCAAAGCTTCTCAAGTAGCGATCCCTGTAGTCAATAGTAAACAATTTATGTATACTGAGGAATTAACGCACACACATAACATTGGTAAGAGTATGGGCATGACATGATTAGAACCAACCCTGCAGCTGCAACCCCGTGAAAAAGAAACACTTTATTACTTTGCAAACAATATAGCTGTATGACTTGCAGTTCAAAGCAGTCAATCAAGCAATATGAGAGGGAAATTCTGGCATGCTGTTGTGTATGAGACTCTTGTACATATGCAAAGAAGAGACGTTTTTATTAATCCACCCTGAGTTAAAGTGCACCCTCACTGGCAAAAGAAAGACAGGCTGGTGAGATGGTGAGAAGTCCTGCACATGTTCAGCGCACACACAAAGACCATACATTCCAGCATAAATTTGTTGCATATACTCAGCACGCTCTGCATCAAATGTGCACAAACTTCCATGCCTAGACTGTGACTTTGTACCAAAGGTTCAGTATTTTCATTTAAAACACGCCCTCTTTTGTTCCCGCTCTGAGCGAACACCAAGAACCAATCTCAGTTAGGTTTGCCCAGCACACACACACACGTTCTGTGCCTGTAGGAACTGTACACATTGAAACATAGATGTTGCTATGATCAAAAATGCCATACGGACAATTGTTTGTCTCCACTACTTGGTCTAGATTTTCCAAACAAAACAAATGGTCCCTTCAATGAGGAAGCAGCCTGGACATGTTCGTTCACATGTACTTGAATAGCACTTGTGGGGATAACTTGAATGATAGTTATCGTTGGGGGTGTTTGTCCCTACAATTCAGTGCAAAATTTCCTGACAAAAAAATGTCCCCACAAAATGGCGCTGGTCAAGGCAAGCACATTGGCATGGAGAACAAACGCACAAACAGTGTGGCAAATCTGTAGCTTCGTCAAGTTGGTTCTAGGCACACAATGTCAATAGTGGTGGTCTATTACTGCCTCCCAGACCAAAGGAAACATGCGATAATCACAGACAGAGAAACACAGACAAGAATTACTCATTATAACACCTTCTAGTAATGAAACCAGGGCTCCCTCAAGGGGCATAGGCACTGTAGCCAAAAGGCCTGGGGAAACCTAGAGAGAGGAGATGAAGGAGAAGTTGTCAGTTTTAGAGGTGGGAGGAAAATTGTGAAATAATATTCCAGGGGGAAACCCACAGCATGAAGGGGAGACTGAAAGCCTACTCCAGTGACAGCCTGGGGGGACTGGAAAACTGATCACAAAGTGAGGACAAGTATCGCATATTCAGACTCCCCTTAGGTTTGAATGACCTTAAAAAAAAGTGACTTGGCAAAGATTTTGAACTGACAGATCAAAACTAAAACGGTATCCAGCCTTGCATTAACAGCCTTAAAATACTTGACAATCATCAGCCACAACACAAAATAAAATGGTTCCCATTTACAAAGGTATTTACATCAACTGGACATTTATAAATACATGTACAATGTGATTCTACATGTGCATATCAAACATCAATGTTGGTGTAGGAGTGGAATGCTTTGAGATTGTTCCTTTCTAAGAAGCCGCCAAGTTGTCTGCCAGGTCCCACCTCATATGTCTTGGGGAATCCCTGCCCCTTGTTACGTTGATACATCTCATGCATAGTCTGCTCCCAGTGGATGGGTTCTAGCAGCTGACGTTTCAGAAGTGTTCGTATGTGCTTAGCATGTCGGTAACGCTTGCCATTGACGTTGGAGTGAACACTAATGACAGGAGTGTCAAAGGGAACACGATCGACTGCTGAATAGAAGGCATCCTTAGCTGGAGCCATGAGAGGCGAGTGGAAAGCACCACTCACTGGTACTCGCTTGGCTGCCCGTAAAGAGTAGTGACGAGACATCTCTTGGATGAAATCCAAAGCCTAAGTTGAACAAAAAAAAGGTGATATCCAAGTCAACATCTGAATGCTCTTCTGGTATATTTACTCATCAACCAATTTCACTTTAAGTTTTACCAATGTACCACAAATTGGTTCGGTGTTAAATTTTTACGTGACTAACACCCACAGGTTAACAGTACCCCCAAGAAACATGGAACATTCTTTGCATGAGGTTGCTTAAATGCACACTGATTGGTTATCAAGCTGGTTTGTTTTCATTCATCACTTACCCACAATCCTTTGCATTTTAATACAATTTAGAGGGTTAGGTTCAATTTACATGGATGCGTACAAGAAACTTGCATGCCTTTGATGTCTCTCAACATTCATGTACATGAAACTGCTACTAGAAATACACCGATTCAGAAATGCACACACCTCTACGGAGATGGCACGCTTCCTGAAATGCCTTTACCCATCATGTTATGTCACATGATAAACATTGATAACTAGCCAATCAAATTGTGCCAGTATGACTCTTATTGCTGGCAATGAGAGTCAGTCAACCTTTCTTACTTTAGTGTGTCCTGCGATGACTTTGGCCTCTGGGAAAAGATGAGATGCAATGGTACAGACTGGTACCTTGATCCCATCTAGAATACAAGCATCCATGGCCTCACGACATATCATCTTGAAGTGTACACCACGTCGACCAATCACAGACAGCATACCACTAGAAACCAGCTCAGAGGCATGTTGCATGGCTTCGGCACGGATTTTGATTAAATGTATGGCTGTGTGAAAACAAGAGCAATGAAATGTGGCAGTCAAAATGGGTTTGATGGAACCAATCACTGTGCTTGCCTGGGTATGTGAAAGAATATTATGTTTGGTTAAAAATTGGTCTTTTGAATTGTTGGAGTATACAATGATTTTGTAAAAATACTCAGAAATGCTGAAAATGCTTGGAACCAAGACTGGAATTGTACAAAATGGGTAAATTATCAGTTAGAAATATGCATTTATTGAACGGACAGAAACCACACTACGCAAGCTCACCCTTACCTCTGATTGAATAGAAGATTCAACCTGGCCCACTGGAGACCATAAGACATGACAGTCTCCTGTCTACTTACCATCCTCGAAAGACAGGGCACCAGAGAACACTAAAGCAGAGAACTCTCCAACGCTGAATCCTGACGCAGCCACACAATTGGCTACAGCCTAGCAGAGAAAATGACGGTAATCATCACAAATCAGCCAAGAGAGTGGGCTATAATTTGAAAACTGAACAAGCAGAGAACACTTTGGAAATATATTGCATTTTGTCAACTAAACGTACTATCAAAGTACTATTTAGATCACATAAAAATCATATTTGTGGTGAAAAGTGCTAATGTCCAAGCTGTAAGCAATGAGCTCTGCATTATCAGAATTTGTAAAACATTGTAGATCAGGTAACACACACGAGAACCAAGGTGTGTTGATGTGTTCAATCTTCAAGATTTAATCAACATGTCAATAAAAGAAAAAACCTCAAGAAACATTCAAAGCTGCCACACCTTGGGTTGGTCCTCTTTGAGTTTCTCAACTGCAGCTAACGAGCACACTACAACCGCTGGCTGACTGTGAACAGTACGATTTAGTTCTTCTTTTGATCCATTCAGACAGAGATCTAGCAGGTCATAGCCAAGAATCTCAGATGCAATACTGAACATCTGCTTGACATTTGGATATTGTAGAAGCTGATGACCCATGCCTGGAAACTGTGTCCCTGTTTCAAGGTATTGAAAAAAGACAAGTTTGAAGAAGTAAGTGGGAAATCTGAAAGGTGACAAATTTAGATGGTGGTAAAACTGTAAAAGTAACTACAAAAAAATCATCAAAGGATCAATTCTTCACTTTGTGAGGACCAGATTATCAAATTATGATGAAATTTCTTAAATTATTTTCAAGGATGGATTTGCACCGGGGAGATGTTAATTAATTCTGACTCTAACCAGCCAACAAACACCAGTAAGCTCAGTGGTTGAGTGGTTAAGACGTCTGCACGAGTAAGCAAGAAGTCATGGGTTCGAGTCCCACCCGAGGGGCAAATGCTGAGTTTACAGTGTTATAATACATGTTGGGCAGGGCAAAATCAAAAATTACTTTCTTAAATTGTTTACATTTGACTTAACTACATCCAATGCAAGTCTTGAAGCGCATGTACACGTACACGACTTTGTACATGTACCATACATCTGCTGTTGGCCTAAACGCCACACACGTAACCAGCATTACGCTGGTTCCCAATTAAACCGGTGTGCTTTTGTACTGTGAATTGGTAGTAAACTGGTACTTGCCCATTCCCACTCTCTTTCTGTTTCGTCTTCCTGACTTTCAGTACCGCTGCATATTCTAAAATCGTCCATATTTCCCAGTTTTCATTGTTTCATCTCATACTACGTGAGATAAAACAATGAGATGTATATACAGAGCGTAAGTATACAAGTAAACATGTTCGAGTTTCGGGCGTTTTACTCCAGTGCACATAATCAGTGAACTGTTCACATAACCTTTGCCCCGAGGTTGCAGAGCTTCATCGATGCCACGCGGGATCAGGATCCGGTGTAAACGCAGCGTGGATCTGATCCCCTCGCTTGATTGCTCTTGCCAGATCTGATCTTCCGTTGCAAGATCAAGTGTAAACGCGGCGATAGTTGGTAGTCAATGTACTGAGAAATCCTTTGTAAATATAAATATTCTAATAATCTTTTCTGGCATTGCACCTTGTCCAGGAAAGAGAAATGCCGTCATCTCTCGCGGATTAAGCTTTGGTCTTTCTGCCTTCTGTGACTGAAGTCTTGCCTCTCGTCGTTGAGGGATGTCTGAGAAATCAAAGTCCTTTCTTGGCTCCTCTACCTGTGCTTCATCAAGAAGTTTGTGCATGCTTTGAATTCGTTGAGCTGCCATAGACTTGGCTACTTGATCTCTGTTTTTACTGTTTTCTGAATAAAAGAAAAAAGATTGGGGAAAAAAATAGTTTCTCCATTGATATTTGTCTGACAACCTACAGTTGAGTCCGATCAACAATTCCTTTGTTTTTAATTCATCCACTGAACCAAATAAATTGACTCACTTTTATTTTCTACAGCACAGTTTCCATCAATTTGTGACTAGAAAATAATTTTGCCTAGAATGGATCATTAACCTTGTGACCTATATGTAATGGATCATATGGTATCATTTATCAACTAAGTAAGGAATCCAAGCTTACAGGAAGAGGATCTGCCCGTATTAATGGTCCAGGTTGAGACTGGTGGGCATTACTAAAGTACATCAAAACACTGAAAAGAGTGAATGCGATTCTTTTCACCTGTCATCCCTGATCTCGCTGATGTAGAATCTCCCATCTCATTTCTGTCTCCATCTCTGCTCACAGATCCAAGATGTCTTCCTTGGAGTAAACCTGTTGTATCTAATCCTGTCCTCTCTTGCTTCAAGCATCTTGGATAATGGCATCTTGACCTCAAGACAGCCTGTGAGAGAGTGTAAACATTTCTTATTCTCATCAAACTAGCTGGATGCATGATATGGAAGTTCCTCAGTACGCCTGCCACAGGAGACAGACTGCAACAACTCTTCCAGGTTTGATCCTTCGTCAATCCTTTGAGGAGTGTCAGTCTCAATAGCGATGAATGCTGAAACTGTCGTGAAGTCAAGTCTCTTCAATTTTCTGGTCAGAGTTGCTGCCAGTATTTGTAACTTTCAAATGTTTCCACAAACTTCGGAGCTGCTATGCCATTAAGCACTACCTCTGCACTTTGATAGGCAAGATGTACCAGGCAGAGTTGAAAATGCTTCTATCTGCACAAGGAAGATACAAGAAATATAGTAAAACATATTTGAAAATCACTAAAAAAGGCAGCTTTTCAATGTTTAGCTGTCCCATACATGCATGTACCTAAACTACTGTCTTCTACTTATTACACATATGTGATTGTTTTTATGCAGTTACTACATGTAGGTGAAGAGTTTTGATGAATATACATGTACTATGTGACATAGTACATGTATATTCATCAAAACTCATCACCTACATGTAGTAACTGCATAAAAACAATCACAGAAATTGGTAAAATGCTTCTACTTTAGTCATGTTAGTTGCACATCATTCTACATCATGTCGATGTTCAACATGTTCGAGGAAGAAATGAATCAGTGATGAACAGTGTTACCACGGTCACTAACCAGGCTGCTGTAATACACACCAGCATTATTATATACATGCCAACAACCACGATGAACTTCAACTTCTTTCCGTGACCATCAGACCACGTGTACCGAGTGTCGAGTCAGCCTTCAGGTGATCGACTGCTCTTACACATTTCAAATTGCATGTAAAACTTACAAACGATACAGGCCAGATCAGCCGGAACACAATGCTGACACTGACAGTCAGAACATTAATGTCTAGGTTTTTCCGCGCGTCACTAGTGTCTGTTCCTACCGAATCCATCCAGCGCCCGGCCGAGAACCTCAGCTCTCTAAAGCCACTTACATTAACTCAGCGCAGAGAGCTAGAGCTCAGTTCGGAATAGCGCCCTCAACTGACTTCAATGTTATGAAATATGAAATAAATGTACATGCGATAGAGTTATCCAACTGAGAAGAAAAAAATCTATAGACCCCTGCTCCATGGAAAAATATATGTAAAAACAAACGCCAAATGTCGCCCTTTCAATTTTCGCGAACTTCCCGAAGGCATAGCAGCGGCATACCAGGCTCTGGCTGATGTTGGGGGAGAAAAAAATCAAAAGGCTTACTCATGGTCCCGGCATCCATGCTTTTCTTTCGTGGTGTTGTTTTCAAGTTCTTAGTATTTTGGTGCTATATAGGCATAGCTAATAATCATTTGATAAGTAAAACAATATACCGGTTATTTTCTTTCGTACTCACCTTGGAAGTATTCTTTGTAAAAAAAAAGGGGGGGCGTGTGTCGGATTTGGGGTTAATTCTCCAAATGAAAATTGATACCTCCGAGATAAATTATAACAAAAAATGAGAGAAAATTATGACAAAGTTTTAGTATCAGTTAGGTCTGTGTATTCGTCAACTCAAATTCGATTTGAAACTTATCTTGGTTTCACTATGTTGGTGCAGATTGTGTTATTTTCCGTTGCCAATCTTCTCCTTATCTTTATCTTCGTCAATTCCTTCTAGAAAAGAAACGACGAAGATCATTCCTGGGGTAAATAGCCTGAGTTCAGTTCAGTTGTCCGGATATGCAAGCATAGAAGGAAATTTGCTTTGTTCGCTTTTACATTTGTTACATATTGTTACAAAACTACACAGGTATTTTGAAAAAAACCCATTAATATCACTAATTAAGGAATTAACATGATCATTATATTCATCATAAATTAAAGCCAGGGATAGGGGAATATGTGAGCCAGGGGAAAGTATTATAAGGAAACTTTACAAGTAAGACTTAATAGTTGCAAATTGAGGTGGGAACAAAAGACTTTAGGAATCGTGAAGTTTGGGAGGGCAATGATCTGAGTCGTTTTCCTGATCGCATAAATTAGTAACAGTCGAAGAGTGGGTGAGAATCGTTACATAGGATTTCCTTTACTTTCTCTAATATTTTGGTCATACATGCTTCATTTAGTTGTCTGTGTTCACCGATCATTTTGCTGGCTTTTTTTGTGTGTGGTGATTTCTCTCTATCTTCCTTCCTAGATGCCGTGTCCCAAACAATAATATTCGATAGAAGAGTAGTCTCTTGACTATTGCCTGGTAAAAGAGGCCGAGAACTGGTCTTGAAACCTGGGCTGCTCTCAGTCTTCTAAAAAAAATACATCATAGTCTGAGATTTTGAAAAAGTTGCCCTTGTGTGGGAAATCCAATCAAGTTTACTGTCTATTATAGCACCTAGGTACTTGTGTTCATCTACAATTTCAAGAACCCTACCATTGAGAAGTATTGGTACCATTTGAGAGTGCGATGTCCTTAAATCGAAGATAATTTCTTTCGATTTTGTGGGATTCAATCAGAGATAATACTAGCTCCTTGAATTTTGTAACACGCCCGCTGATTTTTCCACCAATACCATGCTCATAACTTGTTTTCAATGATCTATTCGTTTTTGGTACAAAATACACTCTTCACATTCAACATTGCTGGTATCATCATCCTGATTGCTATACAAACAGATCTATGCCCAGAACGGGAACTTAGAAGTTCCCGCGTTGCCGTCGGGCGGCGCGCCCGCAGCTAACATTTCGTCGCCTCGGGCTTTCTCAAAGATCGCATTTGCTCCAACGGGGCTTTATCCATGGTGTTAAGAACATTTATGGGTGATCCTTGTTCTGATCAAATGAACAATTTATGTTTCTCTAAATGAATGCTATCAATATTTGGATACTTCAGTAGTAAGATGTGGGCTTATACTAAGCCATATTTCCTAAGTAAACTTTAAATCAAATCAGCCGAAGTTAAAACAAACCGAAATGCAGAAATGATTCAAATTTTGCGATTTAGTCACATCCCTCCTTCCATGAAAATATATTACCATGTTCATTTTCATGTCATGCACGAGATAGCAATCAGGGTACCAGACCAATGCGAATCTATATGTATATTTATTGGTTTTATACTTAGCTTGAGGACAAAATCCGATGCTCGTACATGTCGTAGGAAATTATACAAACATTGCAAACGAGGGTCTCGGCGAATCGAGGAAAACATCGTGTCAAGAATCTTGACGGCATGATGGCAGCCGCTGGCGTTGCAAAATCTGGACTTCTAGAGGTACTTGCAAGGGACCAATGGTGCCGGATCTTAGCTACTCTTGAAGAAGAAACATTGACAATAAGTTTAGAGGACGGATATGAACCAAATGGCGTCTCAAACGGCGGAGGAACGGGCCTCACAGAGCAGAACAACAACCCGAGCAAGAACGATTCACTCCGCCATTCTGACTACTTGCACGGTGTGCATGGGCCCGACACAATTCCTGACGCAATTGCCAACCAAAAACGCATCGTAAAAGTCATCAAACATGAAGTGGGAGGCTTGGGAGTCAGCATTAAAGGAGGAAAAGAAAACAAAATGCCCATTATCATCAGTAAAATATTCAAAGGTTTGGCGGCAGATCACACAGAAAGTCTTTACGTTGGAGATGCTATTTTGTCCGTCAACGGAGAAGACTTGCGTGACGCTACACACGATGAAGCTGTGCGAGCGCTCAAGAAAGCCGGCAAAGAGGTGATTCTCGAAGGTGAGTGAATGTTGGGTTAATAAGATTTTGGTGATTACTAATTAGTTCATTCAGATATACAAAATTAACACTACAGTCATGACAGTAGGTTTTCACCAGTCTTGTTGCACAGCTTGTGAAATATGTAGATTGGGAAAGAGTTCCATATCTTACAGGCAACACAAAATTTCCCTTCAAATGTTAACAGCTGTCAGTAAGTGACAATATGTCCTAAAAATGAAATTTAGCTAACAAAATTCTGAAACATTTACTTATAAAACTCTTAGTTTTTTCAGACAAGTCTTATAGGTTTGTGCACATGGGGAAACAAGTGTTGTCTGTATGGAACTCTTTCTGTAAATTGTAAAATTTAGGCAATGTATTGAACATTGTGCAAATACCGATGCTCTAGTGAAGACTGGCTTTTTGAAGTTAATTAAATATTCATTTATTATCATCATCAACACCTTCACTTCATTTTCCACATGATACATATATTGTGAAGACAATATGGAAGCCCCTAAAAGTATTTAATTTGGCCTACATCTGCTCTGTAATATGGATTGTTTCAACTTTTGTGAAAGTTTCCTTTTGTTGATGGAGTTTAAACATTGACTTACAAAAAAATATTCACTTCAGAAGAATGGCAGTCCTTACTTTTAGGACACTGTGTGTTACAATAAGTAAGAATTCTTCTGCCAACATAAGTAGGAATTTTACATTTTCTAGCAAATTCCTCCCCAAAATCTCTCAATCTGTCAGTTACCATGGTTATTTAAAAGGAATTCCAGTGACTTTTGAGGTGATTCTGGACTGATGCTCATCTTGTAAGAAGTTGAAATATTGAGTGAAGCAAAAATGTAGAAGAGACAAAAAACTTGGTAAAATGAAAGCTTGTTGGAAGAAGCGTCTGAAGCTGTGTAGGCTTACACATTATTCATGATGATCTTCAAACTTGTGTACAGTACATGTAGCTCTAGCAATGTAAACTTGTCTCTCTAATTGCTCAAAGTATAACTACAAATGGCATATCTCCTGGCCTTGCTTATCCTGATCATGTCTACTGTTGTCTACTGTTGTTCTGTTCTGTCCATTACCCAAATCTAAATCCATCACCTGCACAATTGTCTCAATGAAATACAGACAGAAGTGGTACATATACTCTGGCAATGTGATTGAAGTTGTAAAAATGTCTGATCTCAGGAATTTATGGCTGTCATTTGATACCAGTTTAGTAATCTTAGGGTCTACCAATTTTCAAGAGGAGTAAGGGTGCCCATTAAAACTCTTAACATTCCACAGTACATGTATGAACTCAGTGGTGTTGAAGTTTAAAAAGTTGTGCAGTGGAGTTTGAATATTGTAGGAGTCACAAGAGGATGTGGTAATCATTGGTTCAGTACATGAACTGTCAAGTCACTGTGATGTCTACACAAAGAGTGAAGGGCATGGGGCTTCTTTCTTCCGTTGTTTTTTCATTTTCAAATTTTGGCTGTCTGGCCACCTCATACATTTCTACCAGACATAACAAGTTCCACCTCAACATGTGTTTTCATTGAAAATGAGTCTTCTCAGCTTAGGAAAAACTAAAATTGTTGGAGGAAGTAGATCAAATTTTAAACACTTGAATTGTGGAGGCCAGATGCTCTTTCAGAAGAGAACGTCCCCACAGGTTAATGTATTTTTACATTTGTTTCCCACAGTGAGACATCAGTGTACACTGGAGAGAATACAATGCCTTGTTTTCAGTGTTGTTCCAATATTTAACTTCTCTGTCAACACATTCAGAATGCTGCACTTTAATCGAAATGTTATGTTAGAACTTCTCTACTGGTTTTGTAGTTAGTACCAGTACGGTAGGGGTGCTTGAATTTGCCCGGAAGGTAGGGAGAAAGTCATGGGAAGACGTCCAGTTCTAGGACCCCCTGGGAACATGACTAGGCTAAGAAACTGATGTGTGTGCCTATGGTGTGCCCGACTGCCATGTATGCGGAGACGCAGAACATTAAAATGTCATGAAATCTGGATGTGTGGCAAATCACTTACACGTACATATATGTGATCTTCAGGGCTCATCTTACAAAGAAATTGGTCAGCTTTGCTGAATATTAGACATGAAACAGGGATCGTTGAGCCAGTATTCAAACTCAGCATACATGTGCTTCTGACATGTATGTAACATCTGCTGTGGTACTGGTACATGTACATATTTCGCATTCAGATATTCAGAAATACAATTATTTGGTTGTTATATTAGTTAGCAGTTATGGCCATGTTAAAACTGTTTTCAAAGAAATACACTGTACATTGTACAACCGGTATCTTATGAATCTCCCTTCTCATTTTTGTCTGTGATAAGTTTTTAAGGTATCTTTAATTCAATTTGCAAATAACTGTTACCTAAAGCTGTTCATAGTGTTGACTTTGTCAACAGCTCTTCACCTGTGCACATACTAACCCATTCATTGATGGTGAGAATAACCTGCAAGGGGGCAGATGAGTTTGTTGCAAAGGAAGTTAGCACAAAAGACTGGAGTATGAAAGAAGTTTGCTTTTCTTTTACAGAGGAACAAAATTCCTCAGGAGTTAAAGGTGGTGATAATGAAAGATTTTTATAGAAGAGGGTTTGGTAGATTGTTGACCTGCAAAGATGGGAGAATTTACTGGTCTCCTAAAACAACAAGCACCCAGGGCACTTCAGTCACGTTTGTTGTACATTTGTATCAATAATAGAATTTACTTGACACGTACGCCCTAGTAAATTCTATATCTTACAAAGTCCAACAAAATTTGTCGATTGGAGGAATGAACTTTCTGCCCTCACATTTGGTACATGTATATAAATATGTGAATTACTTTTACATGTAAATACAGCCAAGATCCTGTCACATGAGTCTCTTCACTCAGTTTGGTCACATGAAATAGCTTTCCTGTGTCAAGCTGCCCCTATTGTGTATGTATACATGTACCAGTATGCAGTGTTTGATCAGAGTTTCTTTGTATTAGTCCGATCTGTGGGTCAAAGGTTATTCAAATAACCCTGGGAAAATGTCACTGGGTCAGGTCATGGAGCATTCTCAAAGTATTTACAGAATGTAACAAAACCTGTACACAAACACATGAGTGGGTGAGTGTGGGTGGTTCCACATGTGTGGTATTGGATTTTTTTTATGTTTGGTTTAACTGTGTGAAGAAAGTTAACACAACTGAACATTTTCATCCCCAAAATTTGTTTAACTTCATTACAGACAGGAGAAGCTTGTGTGCATTTGGGATGTGATTTTTCTGCTGTTATGATTGGATGTTCATGTACATATACTCATTGTGTGTGTACAATGGCCTCTTGAACTACATGTAATCTGGGAAATTCGAAATTGTACCGGTAGCTCTAATTTATTTTTCCTCAGTAGCGCATATCATATCTCTTTTTCCCACAAGGCCAGTAAATTTAAGTTCTGTGAAAATGCAAGATTTTCATAAGGTTTATCCTACATACCGGTACATGCACTTCCGTGTACATGCACAAAACTAGAGTGCCTTCTGCTCAGTAAATACTTTCCTGTAAATTTCTGGTCAATTATTTCATTTTCTCTTCCATCCTCAGCGCCAACACATGGTCACATGTGATAACGTGTCTAACACATGGTCCAACCATCTGTCGGAATGAGAGTCACTGTGTTTGAAATTCATGTCAATTCATTATGCTTGCCCTGTAAGTGGATGGAAGTACTCAATGGAAGTCTAATTGTTTCTTCATTCAGAATTTCCTCCAGTTAGAAACTGAACACTTAACACATAAGCACTCATTAGGTGTGGGTGCACACTGTACACACGTGTATGTACTTGTACATTTCACTAATTGCCCTCTTTTTAATGATGTAGTGATTTGACTTTTTTTCTTATAACATTACTCAGTTTTCTTCTTTTACCGGTAGGTCTGTCAACAATTAAACATTTATCAAACCAGGATTCCTGTTTCAGCACCACATGTACATGTATACGGTTCAGTTCCTCTATAAAGTGCATCTGGAAGATATGAACTCTAGCAAAACCTTCTTGGGTGTTTTATACAATTGTACATCAATTTCTGTGTCATTATGTACTGTTCATGTACGGTACCGGGTATGTGCATGTATGTAAGGTACATGTACATGTACATGTATGTACCGGTACATGCACCGGGTACGTATATACTGTATGCGCGTACAGACGTGCACTCTTTGGGGCTCAAGACGGAGTGAAAATATTACCTCAGTGCTTTGCTATAATGTCATAGAAATAAAACCTTAATCATTAATGTAAACATCATCCAGGAACTGTTTCCTAAGTTCCTGGCTCTGCGTTTCAAATGTCATCCATTCCACATGATTGGCTCTGTTTTGCTACACTTTATATGATTGAGTTAATTGACTTTCTACGTTAATCTCATGGCACATTACGTCCAAGGATCAAAATGTCAGGCTGATGTCCTCTCAGAGAGATTGTAAATTGTAAACTACAACCATTGCAGCTTTATTGAGGAGCAAACTACTTCCCATCAGCATCAACCTGTAAATGGCTAAACAACTAATGATAGAATTTTAATGAACCAATGAGCTTTACCCAACAAGTTACATGCTCAAGCACCAATCATCTTGCTGTGATTTTCAAAACTGCTTCATGCTTGTCAAACTATGTACATGTACCCGTACATACCATATATAAACTAAATTTCCATGCTGAGTCTGTGTATAAAGCTTGGAATCATAGCAAGTTTGAAGCTGACATACATGTACATGTACATGTACATGTATGATGTGGGTGTGACCATGTATATATGTAAATTGTAATCATTTAGGCATAGGATCCAAGCTGTTCATACTGGTAGACTTGCCTAATTTATGTAAATGGAACCTGCATTAAAAATCTGGACCTTGTACATGTAGGCCTATACTCTGTTTAGTCTCAGTAATGAGCAGTGTGAACATAGAGTCAACTCAGAATTGGTACTTTTGTATATAGGGGAGGGGTACGGTACATGT